TTTCGGTCTTTCTGACCATCTACCTAAAGTAGCCATTCCTAAATCGAATTGTTCTTAAAATATACTGTGCTGAGATAATTTCAAATAAACTTTTACGTTATGACTTGCTACGTCATGCAATTTCAATAAACTAAATACACAATATAAACAACAATGTAATAGGTGTTATTTCAGGTTCTCACGACGATGAGTATGAAGATGGCTGTCTTCTGGGTTTTTGCGCCGTCTGGTAGAAGTTGGCCCTGATGATGGAGGCTGTAAGCATCTCTGATACTTCGGAAAACTTCTACAAGACTATACGTCGTAATATCCCAGCAGACAGCCATCTTCAGAAAGAGGTCATCTCGGTAGCTAGGTTTTCAAGATCCGCATGGATTTAAATTACTGGAACGATTTGATGGCGGGCTAGAATCCACGTCGAGATATGGGTTTTCGTGGTCTTCTGTATAATCCTATAAATACCTAACAAATGTTTGTGTCATTCAACAGGTCGCACAACGTGGCTTACTAACATTTAAAAAATAGTGTTTAAAATATGGCTATGAAGGGCACATTCTGAACGTTTACCGTACTTCATTATTTTACATTTCTGACTGACCTCGATGTATACGACAGACAAATGTAAACTGTAAACACAGTTATACTAAAGGTAACGATCCAGAGTCAGAAATTATTTATTATTGTCAGCTCTTTAATACACCACACCTTATCGAAGTTTTTTCAAGGAAACATTTTGGACGCTAACATGATTAAGAAGGCGTATCTTCACAGCACAAAATTCCAAAGGGATTCTTCATGCCGCATCACATATTTCATTGTTCCTGTAATGTTATCCGAGGTGATTGACGCGTTTTAGGCCATTATTGCATTGATATTAACTCAAACTTCTTACAACAATTACCTTAGATCGATTTTGCTTATGTGATCCGAGGTACCATTGTCGACCAAAAATTGGTTCCAACAATGGAGTTTGTTGATGCGGACAGTCTGACGGAAAGACATACATGGTCAATCCACAAGGAGGGTGGTTTTTCTCAGTCAACACAACAATTATTAGATGCTCTTTAATATTTATCGTAATCAAAGAACATCTTATGGGCTCGTCCATCTCTGTCTACATCGTCTTTCATCGCACTGGTGCAACGATGTCCGCAGATAACATTGTTGTATAAATTACCTTGGATACCATTATTGTCTTTGACACCATTTTTACAGTTCTTTTGACTATGGTTGCCCTTTTAAAGTCATTGCCCTTGATATTGCGTAAAGAGTGCCTTTGGAACTTCAGCGTACTTCAAAAAGTACACCCTTCCAATTAATTATCCCATAATTCAAAGCTAAGCAGTCTGAGATGTTGACAACGTCGAACCTACTAGTAAATAAATGAATATGTTTTGTAGACGTTATTATGAAGTGAGTATAACAAAAATTATGTTGTTCAGATAATTTATAGTACAGACACTTAATAAAGAACTTATTTAAAGTTCTTTGAATAGCCCATAGATCGAACGTGTGCGTGGAGAGAAACGAATTACATAGTATGTGATAATAAAAAGCCAGTTCGTCTCTGGAATTCTGATAGATTAAGAAGAATAAGTACACATTGCGGAAAGAAGGGCAGAACGAACTGGGATTAGTGTCTAAAAGAGAAGAAATGGGGGGAGGGGGGAGGAGAGGGGTTACAAAAATTGCTGTAAGTCGAAGACTTACGCGGCCAGAGCATGGAGTTGAGGGTATAAACAGATATTCTTAGGTTAGAAAATTAAAACTCAAGATTAATGAATCTCACAGATAAACAATTCTTGAGACAAGGGTAGACTTCAAACCGGCAGCATGGGAATGTATATTTCAAAACGAACTACGGGAGAACCTCTCAGGAAAACGGGTCTCTGGGTCCCCGGAAACTCCTCTGTGTATGAAACAGAAATCCTAACTACTACATCGTGAATTTCGACATGTGACAGCATAACCATTATGGCAGTGTTTTAAGCTCACTCATAAATATAATTGTGGCCGTTTCTTAAGACTATGTGTACTTCGGATTGCTTCAACCACCAAAGCGAACATGGTTTCTCATACGATCTGACAGTAGCTCAGTAAGTCAGTTGTGATGACTTAACCGTAAAAGACAGAAGTGAATTATCGTATAAATTTCAGAAAATATCTGGAAATTAAAACTTATGGGCACACAATAATCACAATATATTTTTTAACACATAGTATTAACTAACTAACTACCTAATTCCGTGGATGATAGCCCTTAGATACTCTGACACTGCACTCAGCTAGTAAAGAAATTATCTGCCTTTAATATAACGAAAAATTCCATTAATGTGTGTGATGACAAGAGACCCACTTAACATGGAGTATAACCACAAGCTTCAAGATATTACTAAATTATATTAATGTAATGTTAACCATCTTATTACATAATTAAATATTTTAACATGCCTAAATAAGTTAATAGTTACTTCAAATTTACTGTTATGTTAATGGTTATGTGATCACATTTTAGCCTCACAACCCAAGTAATTAGAAAAGTAAACTAATTTTGATTCAAATGTAAACAAGAAAACGTGAAATAAACTTATAATCTAGACACTAAACAGTCGAATTAATTCAAAGTAATTAATCACAAGTGCTTAGTCGCTGACTGAAAATACCCAGGTTCGCGCCCCGGTCAGCCCATGTAGGACTTGCGATTGACAAAGTGGCACTTAAACGTGTTTTCCTCGGAGTTTTTCTATTTTTCCCTGTCAATATAATGTTAACCTTCGTTTAATATTTGGGAATGGACAGTGGGCCCGTTAGTGGAAGCAGTTTTGTAAAAACGCGGTATCACCCATTGTAATAATAAAAATTAATTAATAAATTTATCTACCAAATATTATTAAGGTGCTTAAATTAAGGAGGATAAAATATGCAAGGTACGTAGAACTTATGAGGTCAGTGAAAAATTCATACAAGTTAGAAATTCAAGGTGAAGGACATGTGGTATATATCCGTTCTTCAAGTGCCTGAGCACTGCGGGTCCCAACTTTTCGTTGGCTCAATCTATAGACATTTGGTAGGACTCCTTGGATGAGGGATCGGCCCGTCACAAGGCCTCTACCTGTACACAGAACAGCACAACACAGAACAACGCGGACAAACATCCATTGCTTGAGTGGGATTCGAACCCACGGTCCCAGTGACCAAGCGGCACAAGGCCCACGCCTCTGACAGCGCGGCCACTGCGGACCCCTGGTATATACACACATATAAATAAATAAATATATATATATATATTTGGAAAGTCAATAGTTTAAGAAACCTAATGTTGATTACCATGTTTACCTCTTATCGGACCATCTTAGAAAACTGTGACGTGAGGTTTCGGATGGATTGTGCTGGTTAAAGACATGGTTCGGTAAGAGGTAAACACGGTAATCAACATTAGGCTTCTAAAACTATTGACTATCCGAACAAATTTTGGAGAAAGAGGCTGTGCGATGTAGTTAGATTAATTGCAGACAACTGGTGAAATACATAGTTGAGGTAACGGCAAATGGGAAGTGCATTATATTGACGAATGAAGTGGATATGCAATGACGCTGTCGTGACCTATTTTATATATTATTCCGATTCTGAGTGGCGTAGCTGGTAAAAGGCAAGAACACTTCCGTTTGGATAGTCAGCTTCAGGGCCAATATTCGAAAGCACAATTTTCTAATATGATGTAAAAGTACCAAAATACGATATTATGAGGGAGAAATTTACGAGCAGGGAGTTATAAGGGAGGGTCGCCCCAGTGGGACTCTTAATTACTTGATCAAATGAGGAAGGGAGCTTCGCCTCATCATACCAGGGATTAAAGAAATGAAGAAGAAAGATTAACGATTATATAGAATGCAGTCGGAATACAAGAAGACGGAAAGACGAGGATAGAAGAAAGTTGTATGAGCTGTAACTCCTGTTAGCTAAGCCACAGGCCTTAAGAATGTTGGAGGTGAATCTTCTATAATACTTCATTAATTAAATATTCATGTCAAGATTTTTAGTTTATAGCAATGAAAAATTTACTGGCAAGAAATTATACTGAATTTAATGATAAACCTTTTATTATGATGTCAAACTCTTATTTAATATCGATTTGGATTTGTCAGAAGTGGTTCAGTATCGTGTCCAAAGGCAAGTTTTTGTTTTTGTGGAAACAGGAGAATTAGAATTGCGCCGTGTAACCTGGTAGAAGTTTACCGACGTTTCAGAGGTCCTTGATGCCTCCTTCATCAGGAAGCTGATGATGGAGACAACTGACTAACACAAGGAGGTTAAAGCAGGTTAAATTCCCGAATAGTTACTAAGAAATAAAATATACAAATTATAATTTAATGTATTTACGTATAAATCATCTTTAAAGAGTTTGTATTCGTTGTCCAACACTTAATCGCTACTTCAGTTTATCATATATGTGTTCCGTATTTTACTTCAAAGAAGGTATTTACAATGCGGCATCAATTAGACGTCTCACTGTCTCCGATTCGTGTTTTACTTTTGACATCTACACAACCCGCTGATACATATATCGGAGTTACATTTTAAACAGTCGTGACACAGTCAAATCATGGTATTAAACAGCCTAAACGAAGTAAAAGTCACAAATAATTTTAACCCTCCATTCAATAAATTTTATTATAATACAACTACAAATTTCTTCAGTTTACAATTTAATTTTTTGTACCTATTTCAAGAAATAACTCGGCAGTACCATGATCACGTGCCACCAGTGTTTCAATTAATATTTCAATTGCAGTGTTGATGCACAACCTAACTAACATTTACACAAGTTTTCGTAATTCTGATCGTACTTAAAACTAATAGCACAACCTAACTAGTTAATAAAATCTTGTCGCAGTGTCATATTGACATACTTAATTCGGAAAATTAGAAACTTTATAAATATTCGATAAACAACTCCAAGGTACTGTGTTAATATACACTTTCGCTATTTGTAAACATACCTGGTAAAATCGATCGTTTAAAGCTGTGTATATCTTCTGCGGTTGATACAGTGACCTTAAATAAACCATGAAAATACTGCAGCATCCAGTCGACCGATGTAAATTGCACAAAACACAAACAAACATTCCGGTGACATGCATTAAGTATGATTTCTTTGACTTCCGGAAACACGATGTTCATTTATTTCTCATAACGGTCACTTCCGATATTTTGTTGATTTTCTCTGTGTTCGTATGTGTTACACACTCAGTTACTTAAAAGATTGTTTACAAAAACAATTCCAATAACTCTGTATTTTGATTTTATTAATCTGATTTTCACTTTCGATGTTTATTACAGATTGTTCAAAAATTAATATACCTTCCGTCTCACAAAGGATTGCCTGCCTGACTAATTAAAGACGTATTTGTGGGTAAATTTAAGGTATTCTGGAAATTCGGTAAATGATGCAAATGCTGTTTTGTAGGTTAGATTAAGAATAGATATAACTAATGAAAACACTCGTTATAATTCAGAGTTAAATGCAGAGAAAATAAAACATTAAATGGTGAAAATATGATTGCAAATACATGTTAAAATATATATTGTATCAGGAAAATTAAAGGGCACAATAAGACAGCATATATCTCTTCATCCTTTTATTTTTCTCCTAACCTACCAAATGTATTTCAATTACATTTCATATTAAGGGGTCCACTATAACAGTTGTAATACTTTAATTTTGGTTTATTTATATTGGGCGTATAGGCATATTAATCGTATTTTACATTAACTTTCTTTATACTTATAAAAAGATCCAAGACCTGGATGTATCAGTGTAAAAGTGGTTTAATTTAGTTTTGATGAAGGTAAGAAGAATATAACATTTGTTCTTTCTTGTTCTTATTATTTTCCTGTTTTAATGAATAAGGTTATGTAGATGCCTCTGAAATCAGAATTAATACTGAGTATTTTGACAGAGCTGTTTTGATCAACCCATTATAAGGCCTGTACCCAAACAGAATGACACAACAGAAAATGCAGACATACATCCTTACCTGGAATACAATTCAAGCCCTCAAACCTCAATCCCTGAGTTTACATTGTCAAATACCTTCTGCGACTCAGACAGTATGATAACTATGATCAGGACAATTCTGTTCAAAACGTATTTGAACTAAATAAGCTTCTGGTAACTCTAATTCACGAAGTTTATAATCCTTCAATGCATTTATATTTACAGCTTTCTTAAACCTAATTTTTCAAATAACTTGTTTCATCATTCAATCAATACATATTTTAATATCTTATATTCGTTATTATCTACATATATACATTTTTGCTACATTTATTTATTTATTTATAAAAGACAATCTTTGGTATTTATTTTCATGCACTTGTGGCATAAAATAGTTGTCTGTATTTGACTTTGAATCCAACTCATTTTCTTCAATTATTATGAGACATAACCTAGAATATTTACAACAGCTTATTATTAAATATAATGCTTAAACATTCTTAACCAGTAAGAACAATTCAATTCGAAAACTTTAAGGGAGTTGAACCAGCAACAGAAGACAATTATAAACCACACAAATTGTTTTAGCGCACTTTTTAAAATCTCATGTCATAAAAGCCTGTAATTTTACAAGCAGATATGTATACTACATGGCTTATGTAATATATTTCGATAGTAAATTAAACCATGTACTTGAAAATACTATATCAACATGAATATAAAAAGTACATTGGTTATAACAATACTTCAGACATTTTAATGGGGTACAGAAGTATGATGTTTGTAATTTATTGTTTATATTTGCTTAAATAATAAAATTTACTCACATTCATGACCTATTTTTGATATTATGACAGTGACAGAGAATAATTCAATAGACCAAGTCATTGAAATTCAGTATGTTAGGTATTAAATATCATATTTGAAAATCAAGGTCATTGGGACTAAATTAATTAAGTTCCAGAGAATAAGAGATAATATAAAAAGTAACTGTAAATGTAGAAATCTTACTGATACTCGAATAAAATTTTATAAGACAGTGGTAAGAATTATCTTTCACAATGATCTGAAATATGAAAAATAACCGTGGACCGTGATAAAATTATTTAAAAAATGATTTCCCAAAGATACCTTACAAGCAAACAGAATGTTGGAAGACCTGTAAAAAAATTGTTTGATGGAAGATTATAATGGGTGCCAGTTTCTCTTTTACTTATTCTGATGTAAAATTGATTTTTCAATATTTTAATATGCTCCTTGCACAAAGTGTATCAAATGAATGCATAAAACAAGGTAGAAATTATCCCATAAACTAATAATAAATTTTCAATTAAAGTTATAAAGATAATTTAATTTTTATCTGTATTGGTAATGTAGCCTATGAACATCTACTTAAATGAAGAAGAATTAAAATTTTGTCAGTCTTCTCATAAATGGCTTATCATACCAAATGCGTGTATGGAACATAAATTTAGATTTGATTAATGCCCACAAATTTTACTGGAGAATGTTGAAGTAAAGGAGTTAAAGCTGTATCTTACACTTGATTAATACAAGATTTAAATCTGTGAAATTATATGCTTAGTGATATAAAAAGTTAACTGTTCCATCTCCACCCTGAATAGTTAAATTTAAGGCCAGTTACATATGTAAAATTGCAAAGAACCGACTATAAAAATATGTTTATTCAAAATTATAACACACCTTTCCACTCTCTGTTAAGTTTTGTGTCTTTTTGTTCAGTATGCCTCATCAAGAAATGTGACAATATTTATCACAATATAGGTACGACAACAGATCTGTAAGGATCATGAAAATTAAAGTATAATAATTTAGTTGCATTGTTCTTCTGAGTTCAGTAGGATAAGTATAAGTACACATTAAAGGCAAATACAAAATTATATTTAGGTTAAGTTGATGAATATGTAAATTATTAATTGGTGTAATGAATCCAGGATAACAAGAGGACATGACAGAGTATTTTGAGTAAATAATATAAAAAAAAAGTGCCATGGTACAACAATGCATATTTTGTCTGTGTAGATTTAGTACTGAATGGTGAGAAAGTATTAATTTAACCTCAAACTTTCTTTCCTTAAGAACACAAATCACAGGTAGGTTACAGGTTGTGGTCGCCATGAAAACAGTATAGTCGTCATCGTCATCTTATAAATTTTTTTTCTTACCACATGCATCGGACTAACTCTGAGGTAAAGAATATCATATTCAAAATAAATGAATTACAAATATGAAATTTTCCATAGCTTTATACCATACCTCTTCCCCCTTCATAATGATTCAGACGGTCCACATTTATTGCTATAATTACAATAATTAATACTACACAATGCCATCACACAATCTTATTTGGGAAATAATATGAAATTAATGCCAAAGCCCATTATAACTATCACCTGTAGCAAATTTTGTATGTTTTGAAGTATATATTTTTTTGAAAATGGTAACATTAAAAATGCTTTTTTTGATTAAAGAATTCAGGCAACTGTAGAGGTAAATGTGTCACTTCACTTGAGCGTAAGGATACAGACAGAAACTAGAGGCAAAGACCTGATCATTCTTAAAATTGACGTTAGATGAACATAAATGGTGAGTTCATTCTCTAGCCACTTTATCCCCAGGAAGATATTGGTTGATGCCCCAGAGATGATCTAAATATGGCAGCAAAGAGAAAAATCTCTACAACAAAACATAATATGAAGATTTCTGTCTTATGGGTTTTTGCGCTGTGTAGTATGGTCGATGTTAACCAACGTTTCAGAGGTCATACTGCCTCCGTCATCAGGGCGATGAGTATGAAGATTTCAGTCTTCGTGTAGTATGGTGAAACGTTGGTTAACATCGACCAGACTACACAGCGCAACAACCCAGAAGACAGAAATCTTCATATTCATCGCTGTGAAAACCTCAAATCTTACAAAACATAATATGTCTTAAATTCTCACTAGCTTCAGGATAAACAGATGAAAACTAAAGAAGTCTGTCTTCTGAAATGTTGAATCATACAAAATGGTAGGTACTGACTGACATTTTAGAGGAGCTTACGTTCTCCGTCACCCTCTGCTGGGAACAGAACTCAGTCTATCCAATCCGTAGCCAATCACCTGAGCTCTCCCACCTCATTTACTCAATTACATGATAAAATTAATCACAATATTACTTACAAATGTTGCTTCTTACCTAAAAGAAAACACAACGAATCTTTTGAACAATAATAGACTATCAACAAAACAAATCCCAAAAATTAATGAAATCTTAATGAATAAATCTGTCAACACACAACATGTCCAGTATAAACACTCCTTACTGCTGTTCTACAAGAAATAGTCCAGAAGCACGACCAAACGACTTATATTTTATCTTCAATTAGATATGAAGATTTTCAAAGAGCAAAATCCTTTGGTTGCCAGTTAACCAACAAAGCTGAAATCACAGGTTATATCAGGTCATGATATGATGATCTGACTGATGATTAGAGGTGTTTTTTTTCCTGTTTTTTATTATTGCAAGATAGCAAAACCATGCAAAATATGTTATTTTTAATAATTTCTGATCCTTTTATAGCAGTTAACCTTCAGAAAGATTTTACTAGGTTTGAAAGAGTTTGATCTGGCTGGTTTCCTACGTTGCATAATTTCTGTAAGTCTATTAAAATATGCAATTTTTTTTTCATTTTCAGTAATTTCTCCATTTTATCTTCTTGGCAGACATATATTTGCTAAGTGTTATTTAATATTTATGAATCAGCCTTACAATTTGTTACAGCCTGTTGCACAATAATTGGCAATAAACAGGTTAAATCTGAAGATGTAAACACTAAGAAACGGAGCGATGTATTTAAATGGGCCAAATATCCCTCTTGTGTCACATACTTCTGACACCCCTGGCTAAGTCAAGATTTTCAGAACAACCAAAAATGACACTTCATGAACTAATGATTTTTTTTATGGAAATTGAGGTACCATTTAAAAGATTATTTACCACTATTTTGTTCTTTCATCGAGTTAGCTCATTTAAATTTTAAAGTCTCCTTGATGGCTACAACTTCTGTCGTTGTAAAGCCACAAAGAATTATAATTATTGAGAGACGAAAGAACAGCTTTTGTTCACTGATTTCTTTCAAACTTAAAATAAATCCAACCCAGAAGCACAAACCTTCCAAAAAATGGATATGCACGAACAAAACGAAGAAGGAAGGGGAAGGGTCATATCATCAAAGTCTTTGTAAATTACATTCTCATCGTCTTAAAACAATAATTAATCTCTATTATGCAAAGGATCACTACCTGGTGACTGATGATATGGCAGTTGATGATGATTTAATACAGCTGCCGATTGCGGCGTCTCAAACAGCGACATCTTCAGTCGTTTGCACTTAGCTCTTCGATTCTTAAACCAGAATTGCACGTTCTTTGGTTCTAATCTTGGAAATTTTTGTCGATACGGCATTCGGTTCAGTTCCTCCGTGTACTTGAGAATCAGGTTATGTGAGGGGTGTGTATTGAGAGAAAACCACTGTTCTAGTCTTGGCACTTCTGTTACTGGATCTATAAATGTTCTATTTCGTTTCCTTCTTTCATCTGCTGAAGCTGCTAGGGCAGACAGATTGAGACCGCCGGAGGATGAGGGTGGCGTAGCTGGTCCGAGGCCATGATGTCCGTGGTGCTGGTGGGCTAAGCTAGGTATGTAGTGACTCATGTACATGATGCTATGAGAGAACATTGAATTGGGCACCAGAGGAAAGCCTGCTGCTGCTAGGCGGTCTAGGTTTGGGGGGCCCCCACTGGGTGGACCCCGAGCTGCCACGATCATGTCCGAAGGGCTAGGGCTACGAAAGGAATGTAGCCTCTCCTGTTGACGGCTTAGATCTCCAATCCTAGCTGGATGCATTGTACCTGGGAATATGCAAATGAGGGCCATTACAGGTTGAGGGAATTTAAAAACAACGTGTTAAGGAAAATATTTGGAAGTAAAAGAGGATGTAACAAAAGGTTTCGTAATTTGTATTCCTTATCAAACACTATTATGTTTAACAAATCAAGGATGATGAGATGTGCAGGCATGAAAATAATAAAATAAGTTTGAATTTAATAAAAAAGCAACTTGAACTTGGTTAACTAGATAAACAGAAGGGAAATGTTATGTAATATAATCTGTGGAAACTTTCAAGAGGAACGTCCCTGACTCCAGAAATACGATCACCCACTCGCGATCAGTCGAAGCTGACGGCAAGTTCGTGTTAATTCTCAGTGTAAAGCTGTTAGATTTAATACATATATGACCTGTTGGCATGTTTACGGCACAGAAAGCAAATTAACGAACAAAAAGTTTCTTCCTTGAGATTAACATTAAAAGTTAATCTTATTTTTCAAATATCTCGCATAAAATATTTATATACAGCACACCCAAACATAACGTGAAAGCTGATTTACCTTCCGCTGTCCTCGCGCAAGAGAAGTCCAGTGGGAAGTAGGAACGGGTGAAAGGGACGAACTTTATGCGCATGCGCACTTCGCTTATTCCTATTTCAAACACAGTACTCCAGTAGTCTCCCGTAGTGCATTTGCACTGTGTATACGAACTGCTAGTGGTATTGCTGGGGTAATGCATATTTCGTGAAAGAGGGCAGCGTAGCGTTTCACGCCCATTCTACTCCCAGCGGTCTTCTCTTCGCGTGGATAATACGGAGTGCGTTCTGTGCGAGTCGTAAATCCGACGGAATTCCAGCATAGCGATAATGCCATTACTGAGAACCTGAAAAACGGCAACATTTACATTCAGTATATCCAGTGCTCTGTTAACATGACTTGTACCCACCTATCTCTTCTTCATCGTGGTCAATCTCCTCCTTATTCCTCCTTTCCTCTAAATCATCTGGGTCTTCATCATCTTCATCTTCATCCACATCGGATATCTCTTCACAATCCTTATTATTCCTATTATTGTTATTATTATTGTTGTTGTTACTGGACAGAGATGATGTAATTTCGTCTGGTGGTTCCTGCTTAATCCCACCCATCTGCAAAAGAAAATCAAAACGTACAAAGAATGGAGAAAAATACGACAAAGAATACACAAATGATATTGGTATTCTGAAACTGGCTGAATTATGACAAATAAGATGAACCAGATATGTAAGTGTAACAAATGCAAAAAATGTTGCAATTAATTGCGAGGGGGTTACTATCTAGGCCTTAAATTAGTTGTTGATATATATTAACTGGATTGAACTGGCTAATAAGAGGCTGGACAATAGTTCTAGCAGTTAGACACTGGTTTCTCGCAGCAGAGATCGTGGTTAATTCCAGGGCTGTCTGTGTAGGATTAGCGGTGGCAATGGGATAAGTTTCCCCCCCTGCCAATCATAATTTCATTAATACTTTTTATTTCGCCTATCATTATCGTCGTCATCAGAGATTGTTACTATAGGACCATTTGAAACCTCAGAACAAGAAAAGTACACGTATTTCATAGATTCTAGTAAGAAGGGTGTGGAAGAAGTCAAACTGCAAAAATACGTAATTTCTAATTTAGAAAATACACAGAAAAATATAAAATTTAAATTTATAAAGAATAGTTTGCTTCTAATAAATGTATAATCTTAACGGGAAGTTTGTTGTAAGCCAATAGTTCTTCCTTAGCAGAGAACACTCCTTTAACGAACTACCAAATTAGCAACTGGTGTGTATGTCCCTGGTATCCACCGAAAAATTCACAGATGCTCAGGTGGTTAAAGGAACTTTTTAGAATCCGAAACTTCATTTCCGTATTCACAAAATCTCGTCAAATGGCCTTGTTGTGAGGCAGTTCCTTATTCACGTGAAACCCATTTTAATATTATCTTTTTATCTATATACAGATCTACAAGTTATATCTTCCTTTAAGATTTTCTGATTGACATTTTGTGTACCTGTCTGATTCTCCGCATGCGTGCATCATCCTAATATTAGGTAAATAGTTTTGGAGTTGCCAACTTCCTCTCTCTTTAAATCCAAATAGTCACCTAAGCTCTTTATTTTTAAACACCCATCAATCTGTTTCTGCATTGCTTGACTTTACAGCCAACGCTGTTGCCATGGAAACAATTCGCTGATCATCGCCACAAACTTCGTGATATAAAAAACAGGTAAGTTTTACAGAAATTTACCTCTGGTAAGTTGCTGGGTTTGGGTGACGTCCCAGTGCTACCCTTATCATTCGTTGTGAGAGACAGGGGCGCAGTGGGGCTGTCTGGCTCCCTGTCCTCTGCCGCCCTGAGGTCATCTCGTGGGTCGCCTCGATGCTCGGTAATATCAATTCTTGGGTCAAGTCGTAGATTATCGTCTTCGTCTTCTTGATCACTGGTCACTGCCGGGTCGTTTGAGTTTTCTGATTGATGGTCTGATAGAAAGAGTTGGCCCCGCGTGGGGCTGTTCAGAGGCGTACTGGGGCTCTTGATACCCGGGGGCAGAAGTCCCTCCTGCCCCAACATTAAGCTTCCCGCGTGGGTTGGACTGTGGCTACTGCTGTTATATCCGTTGAGGGAAATGTGGCAAGGCAGGCCTGGAAATATGCAACAGCTCGGTTACTGTAACACTGACCTGCGACAACAAAATGCTAGAGAGAACGTGAGAGACTGGGATGTACAGTACGGGTCTAGGAACATGACACCATACAACAGGTCTGTGACAAACCGGACTGGTAGAGGCAATGAGAGAAAATTAGATATGGCGAGGCAGGTATAGAACAGTAGCTGTAACATGGGAGAATAATTCCTTGGAACCCTAAAATACACCACGTCAAAACAAAATGCAGCAATACTAATTAACCCTGATAAGGATTAGTTATGACGTTATCGTGATAGATGGCAGGCTTCTGGTATAAAAGAAAGACGTAATTCTAGTCACGTAAAATCACTGCGCAAACATGTGGTGACAGTTGTGTAAACTAACCTGGGCCCACACTGCGCAACTCCGCGCGTTTCTGCGCTGCACGTGCGTTCTTGAACCAGTAGACGACATTGTTGATGTCCAGGGGTTTTCTGCCCCTCCTAGATTCCAGTCCGTTTAGTTCCTTCACATACTGCTGGATCTGGGACACACAGATGAACGTATTCGAACTGTTCCTGAGTTACTGCACCACTTTGCAAACTTTACAACTTTACAAACAAAGCACTTACGAAACAACTATACATCTAATAAACTGAGTACAAAACAAACCACTGAAGTAATTAATAAGGCAACTAAGTAATCAAAAAAGAAATAAATTCACTGAACAACTAATAAAGTAACTGTGAAACAAACAGATGTGCCCGATTAATAAATACGCAAAACGGAAGTACATAATCAGAGAACCAACTAACAAACCAAGAAACAATCTGTAAACTAACAATCGGGTAAAAGATTTCTCGTCGTTACGTAACAGTGTTCACAAAATACCATCAGTAGAATCTAGTCTGAGCCAGTTCAATCCAGTTCACATTCTCATAAATGATGGCTATTACAACAAATACAAGTTTGTAATTATGCCTGATGTTTTAGCCTTTCTTCATTGAATATCCTTAATATAATATTTCGGAGGTTCTCTCTGTCTGCCTTTGTGGTACGACGAAAAGAAAGCTATCTACTCTGCAATTAATAATAATACAGAATGCTGGACGTCATTAGGGTTGGACCAGTACTCTCACCTGTTGACGACTTGGGTGCTGATTCTCCGCGAACCACCTTTGTAGTTTGGGCAGTTCTAGTTCTGGGTCGAAACTCGTCCTCATTCGAGTCTTCTGTGTGGGATACTGACTCTGAACAGTCTGGAATACAGAACACACGTAACTTGAAATTTGCTTTAGATTGTGACAGAAATTTGCAATATATTCTCTGTAACCGCTGATTATCAGGTAGGTTTCCTACAAGGAGTTGCCCCTGGCGTGAGAAATTGAAAAATACGTTAGCACTAAAGGGAAATATGTCATTTCTTCACAGTTACAACTTTTGAAATGCCATTAAAAAGAAATGTTACGAAGCATCGTTTAACTTTGACATAAAATATTATGGGCCGATAAGTATCAACATCAAATCATCCGACGACATTTTATGGTGATTTCTAATACCAAACATAATCGAAATCGGTTGAATAGTTTTTGGCATAAAACATGAGGACAAATACAATCTCCTCATTTTAATTTTTTATATATTTCCTCTAATGATTAATCTGAGAGCCGTAGATTCGACTGGCTTTCCGCCGAACTACTGAGCCTTCGCCGAGACATCGCTAAGAGACGGTCAAACGACAAATTGTCTACAATGCATTATGCCACTAAGAGTGCAATCTAACTTGCCTGCAGTGCTGGATGGACGCTTTCGGGCAGCGAGGGTGGCCTATCCAGTAATTTGTTAGGGGTTGAGATGTGGTGACTACTGCCCCCAGGGCTGTACTGGGGGCCGGACTGTGGTCGGGGCGTCGAATGGTGCTGGGTGCCGTGGTGTTGGTGTTGCTGCTGGGTCAGTTGCAGGGTCCACCACTGTTCAAACTTCCGTCGGCATTCTTCGCTTGGTTCCGGAACATGGTTGCCTGGAGCGGAGTGAGGACTCCGACATAAATGCGACAGTGTAATCTGCAGATCAATGACGGTCCGTTACGTTAACAAAGTAACTAATTAACTCCGTGGAGGAGTCATTCTTGAGAAGTAAATAAACGTTTAGCTGATTAATAAATTCTCTCGGCTTTCAGAGAACCTGAAAGTTCATTGCCATAGTCATAATAGCCAGTCTTTTCGCCTTAATATTACCCTCCCAGGTCAAAAAAGTTGTCGCTACACTTAAGGGTTTCTTCTTCTTCTTCTTCTTATTATTATTATTATTATTTACAAGGTTTAGACTTCTCCGACCTGTGTGTATCCATAGAAATTATTAACGTCTCTAATTCGCACTTACCAGCCGATAATGGGTGGTCCAAAGATGGAGCTATCTGTGCCTATTTGCGGATATACTATGAGTGAAGTCTGACACATAACATCCTCGAAATCAGTGATGAGTCTACACATAAAATAAGTGTAGTTTAAAGATAGTCTATCTACAGCTTCGATTGAAGGTAATTCCATGTTCGGCACAACGATGGGGAGGGAAAGAAAAGAAAAGAAAAGAAAAATAAACTTATATAATGTGGGTTTTAAACTTAGTAATGCTTGAAGACCTAAATATACGCGTGTTTAAAGATTCATTTAGGTCCTTATACAAAGTGGCCCTTGAAACAAAAAATACTATATAAAAATCGAAATGGCTCGACATACTTTAACGCAAACCTGTCATACCAAGTTTCATAAAAACCGGTTCATCAGTTTGGAAGCTATTGAAGGCGGGCGGGCGGACGGACGGACGGACGGACGGACATTTAGGCAAACGAGATATGACGCAGCTAACAAGCAAGGCAGGCTCCATGTATAAGCTACGTAATCTGTAACTCTGGGCCTCGTATTAAGAGAGGCCTCAAAATATATGGGCCTGTTTTTGATGTAATTAGCGTATTATTATTGTAATATAAAATAGTACATGCATTAAGTAACTTAAAAGCAACATAGTTTATGGTCCTCGCAGGAATAAGCCTTGCCCTTCTAATAGGAAAAAATTGTAATTAACTTAAAATAGGCAAAATATTAAGATCTAAAATTAATATATGTACAAACACACATATTCTGGCAGAAGAAATATAACAAGGAGAAGCAGATAAAATTAAAAAAAAACATGGCTGAACCTAACCTCCACGCTATTAAGATATTCATTGAATTGTTGATTAATCCTTGCTAAGCACGAATTTTCTTAGTTGTGCGAATTTAACTGTTGCCTATTAAGATCAATAGAATAAACAGCTTATGGATATTTAACAATATCAATTACACGTTGCCATAGAAATACACTTACATGTTTTATACGTTACCATCTAAACAAGCAAACAGAGTATATACCGTATTTTTTCATTTAAATAAAAACCAGCACGGAAATTACTGAATGCGTACAACAGCATTTGAATTCAAAATGTCGCAGAGCACTGGTTAAGAATCTCATATCTCACAACAGTGAACTTAAAACACTTATGCACTCATGTGGAACGTAGAATGAATAAATGAAATATGTATTAAAATCTCGTTTCATTTATGATCCACATAAACGTCGTATATGTTTACGAATTTCCCACGAAAGCTGTCTCCTTCAGTGTGCATGATATACTGCGGCAGCAGTCTTAAGACGCTGCACGAATTAAGACACTGATTTAGTACAAGTGCCAGCCGGTGGTTATATAACCGGGGATTTAATAACCGGGATTAAATCGTCACCGCGCCACCTAGGCGGATTTTAAACACGACTTGCTCAAACAACAGCGCATCGAGCTGCGTGGAGCAATGGCTTACCTACATACACGTAAGTTCTAAACTCTCTATGCTGAAATTCAAGTCTACATTAATGTGTTTTCTATGGTCATTATGCACAATATGCAGAGTTGCCAAAATATTACAAACTTTTATTTGAATTTACATTTATTGTATTGTTATACGTTTAACTTAGTTGTTCTATATTGTGAGTCATAGAAGTTATAGAAGAAAACTGTAATGTTAATTTAATGTAACACTGTCTTATAAATTAATTTGAAGTAATGCTGTAAATGGTTCGCTTATAGTGTCAAGAGATGGCAGGATGGGTTTGTTTTCACTGATTGTGTCACGCACAAATGATATACATGGAGAAACGACAGACTTCAATACGACTTGTCTCTAGCATTTGATTCGGTAATTGTATAACGCAGAGGTAACAATTTGTATCACATCCTATAACGATCAGTAAATTGACATTTAGTTCACACGTTTTAATATGGAATTCGCTTAAACGCAGAATGAACAGTGACTTTTTCCCAATCGATATAATAAAATTTATGTATTATAAGGAAATCTGTAGTTCTTAAAATGCAGTAATTTGTGCAAGTTGAGCTATTGTTGAGAAAAGATAAATATCGATTACGATATTTAACAAATATAATGAAAAAAAACCTTTATGCGTACTATAAAATTCTATGCGTCCTGTAGATAATTCCGCAAGAATAGAGTTAGATTAACAGTGACACTTGTGCCTAGAAAAAATATCATCTTAATAAAAAGCATTACACTTTTCAAACTTCTTAAATAACAGGAAAGTTTTAAAAAATATAATTAATGACACTAATATCGCTCTCACTTGTCTCGAAATTTGTAACTGTTGTCATTATTAATGGTAGGAAATAAAAAACAAGAAGTTGGAGTGATCTCTGGTTTAATAAAATTAATCTTTAGTAAGAACAGCGGACTTAAATGAATATTCCCCTGGATGCGCATTTTTAAGTACCAAAGGATTATACATGTCTTAATAATACTTCTGGTAGACGCGTTCCACCATACAAATTTTACGTATGAAGTTACAGTTATTCTTCAGTCCTTGCCTAAACATTTCTAACAGTCTTTAGCTTCACACTACTACAGTTGCTGCATATTTCTAAAGAATCCATATAAAATTTCAGGCTCCTGCTATGAATGTTGCTATTTTATATACACTTAAAATTACGCATTGTCGCCATATTGGTACTGTTCATAAAGCGAAGGATACAAATAACACTAAGATATACCAATGTAGCACTTAACAGCAAAATATTCAGTTTCGTAAGCTGCTGCTAAAATAGGTTTTAGATGAGAACTGACAGACAGACATTAGCAGTTATATAATTTTCCTAAATTATAAATATGTTCCTTCGAAACTCTAAATAAATCCATTATTAATCTACATAGCTTCGGAATCACCAAAATTACAGAAAATCGTCTCCAAAAGCAAAGCCAGCCATAAATATGAATTACAAATCTTAGTTTACTGAAAAGTGACTTATTATTTATAAAACAGGCGACGTCATAATACCTGCACGTTGTATTTCTGCAGTACAAAGGCACTTGCCACAAAATCCCACCTATAAATATACCCCAAGTGACATGTCTGAGATAATATCATTTATGCCTCCCCCTACTTCCGTCTACGTTGTTTTGGGCACCTTGGATGAGTTAAGCTTCAACTGGATTAGACCCAAGAACTCTGACAAGAAATCCACGTAAGGAAAACAGAGTGCAGTATTTATTTAACCACAGTTCATGTAATAAAACCATAATGTGAAGATACAACTTGTTTATAAAGGAACATCGCATTTAACCCTAATTAACCGCTTCAGATGATAGAGTGCCGTTGACTTTTTCTATGTTTGTCACGATATTAAAAATACTGGCCTCTTGGAGTTGTCTTTATGACGTGCCTGAGACTTTTTAAAGAATGTTCTGCCGATATTTCTCGACAGTTAAAGCTAATTATTAGTGATTTTTAAGCAAAAATAATTATACTTTGCTTTGTAAATGTACAGACAAAAATAAATTACCATAGAAATATGCAAACAGAATATTTCATTTCGTTCCCTATTATGGAAAAATAATGACAGAAAATGTTATTACGTCAACCAAGAAATACACTGATAGAAGTTTTCGTTACGTTAACATAGAAGTATACTAACAAGGGGAAATTTAAGTATAAAAACTAGCACGAAAGAAGTTAATTAACCTATGAACAGTCATAAATTTACGTATTATTTATTTAATTGTAGTTTATTTGAAATGCTGTTAGTAGCTCAGCGTAGATTTAAATGGCTATTACCGAATTCTAAATTGTACAACTATGGATAAAAACAGTCGTAACCTAATTTAAGGTACTTCCCTGATATATTGCCTGGAGAGGCATAGGAAACCGCAACAATTTCATTGATAATAGTCGGTCTCCAGGCTGAGATTTGAACCTGGAACCTCCGAAGTGCTAACCAGTCGACGGCAACGTCTAATAAGTCAATAAGAATTTTATGTAAGTAATTGTTACACACTCCATTAGACAATAAATGTAATAATTAAACTTTATGAAAGAAACTACAACATTTATTTGGGGGGAGGGGCTATTGGGCTAAAGAATTCGGGGCACGTTCCGAGACTAGCCGCTGCCAAAATAAAGAACCATCCACCGACAGTAATGGGGGAGGGAGGGGTAATAACTCCTGATAATATTGCTCAAGCACTTTGCACTCGGCGGCTGAGAGAAACTGTCTTAACCACTGACTTGCTTCTTTTGTTCCTGCTGCTCTGTGCAATGACTTAATCCCCTGCCTTATAATCCTCCGTAGATTTTATGTGCGATTCAACACAGGCTACGAACTTTAGTATGGAAACAGGAAGGGGGAAGAACAGAGGAAAAAAGAAATTTACGATATTGTTTCTCTTGTGATCTGATACAGCAGAGATTCTGCATCATACACACAGTTTAAAGTAACAACAGTATAAGTAACTCTTGTCCTATAATACTGATAATTAAGAAAAAGTAAAGAGGAGGGTTTGAAAGAAAGAAAGAAATGAAATTTTTTTTAAAAAAAAGTTTTAAAAGGTGTACTCTCTGGAATACAATGACATTCCAAATGTGTTGTTCACGGTAATGAGGTCATTGTTGCTCCTTAGGGCGTTCATGCACTAATGTGTGCAACAGTGCCCTATGAAGTTTGCCTACCCCTTAAGGAAAACAC